ACTTAATAACATTCCATCTCCATGTTTCTTCACGACGAATCTTTTTTCTAACACTTTTCTGTCTTCTTTTGTCATCGCTATTACTATCGCTTTTATAATAATCTAGTCTATATAAGTGACTTTTTTGTGGTAACTCAAAGTCTGGATCTGCGATGTCGTCATCAGTTGCAAATGGATGAGTATCTGAAGATAGATAGAGATCATCGAATATGTCATGGTAATTCGATCGTGAATCATCTTGATGAAGGAGTACGTCCTTGAGTCCGACCAATGAAGCATTTATCAGCAGCACCATAGATGAATGTTTCGTAGAGTCGCACAAAATCTGGAGGCTGCAAATCTACAGCACTCATCAATTGTTCAGCACATGTTGGTTCACTGCGTTGTAAGCTTCCAGCGCTAACAGCATCTTGCAAGTTGATATCTGAAAAAATATCAGGTATTACTTTTGCTGGAAGTACATAGTATATATAAAAAACAGCTATATACCTACTGCTAGAGAAATTTAAAACTTGGACAGAGATGCACTAGCGTCTAAGTCAACGCCTATTAAAAGAGCATGTAATAAGTAAAATAATAACCTGCATAGTTAACCAGGTGTGCAGGCAATTTTTATTACACTTGGTTCTTGGGTCTTGGTTCTTAACCCATTTATAAAACATCAGTTATCCAGATTTTTAATATTTTTCTACCTGTATATGTAACTTTATCGCTAAATTATCAGATCTGCATCAGTGCTCTCCTCATGGCAAACTTACTACCAATATCACAATGGGAACCACTGTAAATAAGATATTTTCACCACAGAATTCACTGAAACATTACACAACAAACAACATTTTCTTAAAGTTTTACTGAAACATTTTATCCAAGATTAACATTATTTGTTAACCTTAAGGTCTGAGCAAGCCTGACGCTTACGACAAAACTGCTAAAATCAAAATAACTTCATTACATTCCTTAAAATGTTGAAAATATTCTTCACTTACCGTTCGTCAATGTTTTGTCCAAAAGTCCTAATATTTTGCGACCTCTTGAACCCATTTTGAGTCAAATCGGCCTACATAGGTAATTTCAATTTGTTGATGATGTGATGCCTGAGCACAATCATTCGCGGAACATAACCTGTACCAAAGACGTCAGTACTCGTCGACTGACCAGCGTGAGCTAGTCTGTGCCTGCGCATTAAATTCTCATCAAGGTTGATTTTGCCCTCGGAATCGATGCAGAACTATCTTATGTCCTATTCACAGTATTGTATGTTTTGTAAAGTCACGTCAGAACTATTCTATGTCCACAACTAAAAAAACAGAAAATGTGTAAGTCTGAAGAAGCATATGTCGCTTAAATAAATGGACTAATTAATATAAAAACACCCATATTAGAGCTCTATCGACTTAGATTACTCTGCACTGATTGCGCGATGCCTCAATCTATGGTTTGCTGCAGAAATCACAAAATCTCCAAAAATGGGCATAGACTAGTTCTGAATTTAAGCGACGAAATATAAATAAATTCGACATCACTTTAAACAAACTAGAATATTTTCAAATATTACAATGTCTGCACCAACAGAGCCTCCACATATATACATTATACAACATAAAATAATAGCACATCAAGTCTATGTTAAACATATGATTGGTATAAATGATTGACCTGGATATGACTGCATAAATAAATTTTTAAAGGTATTCCTATTCCGTCACGTTAACAGTGACTCCCCTATACAGAGTGTTTCATTGGGAGCGAAAAGTATCATAACCATGGTAATGGGTTACTCAGAACCTTTGTGTCAAAGTACGTCAGTCAGTTTGTTATTCTGTCGGCCTAGTCCCGTAGAAAATGCTCGAGCATTTCTCTTGGTCACTATAATTGATCCACTTCACAGCTACTACACCAACAACGACAACATTCGAATACGAAGCCGTTACGAAAATAACAAATAAAGATAATTTATAGTTATTGTCCAGCTTTCACTACGATGAGTAGTAACTAAGGGGCTAGGTATCTGTCACTTTCTAGTGACGAGTACAAAAATCGTTTCAACCACCTTCCAGCTCAGAAACCATTCTGGAATCATGACCAGTCAGCGCATGCGTGTAAAAGCGTACCAAATGATAACAGCATGGTTCTGGTACGATACTGAGACTCAAGGTTAGAACAAATCTTCAGAATAATTTATTGAAACATACATAACGAATAATGAAAAGCACGTTTTCTCAGTGTACAAGAAACATTGCGTTCCAAGTTCCACCCACCGCAAGGTGGTCGAATTAGATATAAGTTTCTCGGCAGTCATCTAGTGAGGCTGTCCAAAGTTCAATATGAAGTCCGTTTCGGTGCTGTATATATATATATATATATATATCCATTAGCAATCGAAACTTATCCGTATGTGCGGTTAGAGGTTTATTGGCTGGCCAGGTTCTTGTTTGCCGGGGCAGCGGTTAGGAAATTGGGCCGAGAAGGATCCCGGAAGAGCAACGAAGAAAGAAGCATGTGCTATCCTTTCCAGTAGAGAATCACTTACAGGAAATATGTTGGCGTTTGGTTTGGACTTCAATATAACCCAGCTTTAACTGAGAATAAAAAGCTTTTTCTCTAAACATGTTGTTCTTCGCGACAACCAATGGAACTTGACCGCAAAGAAAAACAAAACTCGAACATAATGAAGCCCGCTTTTGGGTTTGTTCCAGTTTTGTTTTTGTTTTTCAGGTTCTAGAGGATAAAAGCACAACATAAACTCAACTGCCTGTTTAGTGGAAAACCGCCTTTAGAAAACAAATGTATGTCCAGACATTGATCACCTCTCACTGCGCCAGCAACACCAATGAAATCGTCCCTAACTACTGGGTATTTTAGAAACCTCGTGAAATTTCATGTAATTATAGGCCTATTGAATTAGATTAATTGCATCTGATGTGCAATTATCATTTATGGGGCTATAGAAACGCCCTTCTGTTGAAGCTTCCCGAGTGAGTCTCTTCGTATGATATACAGGGTGACTGAACGCAACCTGAAATAACTAAGAAGATTGAAGTAGGAACAAAGGGTAGTTATGTCAAGAGAAGAGACTTCGCAAGCTTTTGGTTACATTATTTTATAGCCGTCCTTTCTATACTCACCCAGAAAATATGGTACATTTTGAATGAACTTGCCTGATTAATGGAGGGGTGAGGGTGAAGCAGCCTAGGCTCGTAGATCTCAAAGGGTAGGTCCAACCGCAGAGATAAGTGGCCATAGTCAAGGCAAGGGTCCAATATGAGGACATATCGTCGTCCATAAATAAGTCCATGAAGTGGCTCATCTCATTTTTTCCAATTTTACAGGAGAGTATTTTAAATATTTTTACGAGATTTGAGATGTTGCTGACAAAAAAGTATTATTGCTACATAACTGAATTTGTGGGTATATCTGCTCATGTTTACAAGCTTTTTGAAAATGAGCAACGGCTAACCCATTTTTCATTTTATGTGTTCAAAATTTCCAAAGAAAGTAGATACGTTATTTTGCGAACTTGAAGGGTCGTAATTCATATAATAAAGACTTAGTTACGTCCGTGTTATACAAAAGTGATGAAAAATAAAAACACATGAAATTTAAAAGCAATGTTTTATTACAAGACAAAATTTTTACAAAAAGGAGAACATTATGGCGACATAAGTATCTGCAGCATCTAAATTTATTTAACTCCGTATAAAAGTATAAATATGGCAGCACTAACAAAAGATTCACTCAAATAATAATGATAATATCCGTTAAAGATGAACAAAATAATAATTAGTATTTCGTATATTACTCATGAGGAAGTAGAATGTTTGGTATTCTGGTAAACGAACTACCGGTTTATCTCAACTTTGCACCGTTGCGACCGTAAATAGAAAAAATAATGACACTCAAATTCAAAAACTGGGTATTTTCTCAAAATAAGAAAAAACATTATTTCCCCTTAAAGCGGAGGAAAAATGTAAATTAATTAGGCATTGTAAAAAATAGCCAATAGCCTAATATAATATAGATGGAATTCATGCGGCCCGACTCCTTCAGACTTGGCTCTTTTCAATCTATTCTAATTCCTTGGGACAGACAGACCGACAGAATAGAGTAAAATGGTTTTTCGTGACGTACATGTTACGAACCATCTAAAAGGCATAATACATCATTTTCTAAAAAGTTCGCAATTAAAATACTTCTTTCCTTCTTTGCCAGTCTTTGGCGATTGGGAGGTCGCAGGTCGGGTTTGTAAATTCAAATAGCAACTACGATCTCTGATAGGACATTCAGCCACTAATTTGTCCACTCATAACCTCCTGGGGTCATGTAAAAGAAATTGATTCCTGCGTAAACCCTTGTGCTGATTCCGAATCTGCTGTCAAAAATGATGAATGATGATGATGAATGCATTTAAGAAGTTTATATACAAATGGTCATATCAGAGGTCACCGAAAAAATGTATAGTTGCCAAGACCCCAGAGTGCTCGTGTATTTTTAAAATCCGGGATTAGCACTTAATACTGTCTGACCTCACGTATGAAAAATAGTTCCGATGCAGAAACTCGGGAGTTATGTTATGTATCCTTCATATTGACTAATTTTGCTGTATCAGCTATACTTTCTCAAGGCCCTATTGGCTTTGACAAACCAATAGCTTATGCATCTAAAACATTAAATGATTCTGAACAAAATTACAGTGCGACTGAAAAAGAATGTTTAGCAATAGTTTATGGAACTAAGTATTTTAGACATTATCTTTTTGGACGAAAATGTAAAATTGTAACAGACTGCAAACCGCTTCAGTGGTTAATGACTTTAAAAAAACCAAATTCTAGATTACAAAGATGGCGCTTAAAATTATCCGAATTTGAGTATGAAGTTATATACAAAAAAGGTAAACAAAATAAAAACGCTGATGCACTTTCTCGTATTCAAATTCACGCTACCGAAACTGACCCACAACCTTCTACATCACAAATTCAAGATGTGGAAGAGTCCGATACATGAAAACCTTCAATAAAGACTTTTCCGAAAAACCTGCAGATGACCAAACGTCTATAGAAAATAATGAAGGTGATGAACAAACAGTACGCAATTTGCTAGACTTGAGTGAACGAGTTGAAAACGTAACTATTCACTCAGACGATGAAAACCCCATTCAAGAAATTAACCCTGTAGAAAAACCTATCAATGTTTTCAAGTACCAAATTTTTGTTAAAAAAGCTAGTATGCCCAGAAAACTCACACTTCAAACCTTATGGGATCCGAAGAAATTCTTGTACACATTGTATATTGTTAATGGTGATTTAACTCCTATTATACAATTTCTGAAAGACTACGGTGTACCAAAAAGTACTTATGCATTTTAATTTGAAGATAATCATAACGACGAAATGTATAAAAATCTCGCGAACCTTGTATCTAATATATTAAAAAATTCTGCGTTCAAATTAGTTAAGTGCAGTAAAAAGCTTGAAACTATCACTGACTTTTTGAGACAAGAGGAAATCATGATGTATAATCACGAAACCAAAACTAATCACCGAGGAATCATTGAGAAAGTAATCTAAATTAAAAGAAAATACTATTGGCCCCTATCTCTGTTGTAGACAATTTGATCAAATTCATGTCATTTCATGGTTTGCCCATCCAAATTGTTGCAGATTCTGGTACTGAGTTCAACAATGCCTTAATAAAAGAGTTTGCAAAACTCCATAAGATAAAGCTACATCTCACAACTTCCAAAAATTCAAATAGTAATTCACCTACTGAACGAATCCACTCCACTATAACAGAACATTTGAGAGCTCTTGCACTGCAATTTCCAAAAAAGGATGTTAATTCTTTGATGCCCAATGCAATCCTTGGCTACAATCAGTCTATACATTCATTGACGAAACGAAAACCAATTGAAATTATTAACGGACATTTAGACGTTAGGGATCCTTTTGATCTAGACGTTGATCGAGAATTAATGAACAATTACCTTCAAGAACAGAAGAATAGGACAAAATTAATTTATAGCCTTATCTATGACACGTCGAAAACCCAAAAGGAAAAGGTTATTCGAAAAGCTAATAAAGATCGCGAGAAACCGACCGACTATTCTAGAGAAAAAGCAGCGTACCGACGTGACGCGAAGTCCCGAGGTAAAAAGCTGAAACCACCCTACATAAAAGAACAGATTTTGACTGACAAAGGTTTAAAACCAAAAACTAATAGAAATGTTTATCATAAAAGTATTTTCAAAAAGCCCAGAAAGAAAGTAACTCAAAATTTGTTACAGGATGATACTTCTTCTGATAGTGCATCTGACACATCAGTCCACGGCGGTGAAGGTCACCAACCTTAAAACAAATCCTGGTATACTACCCTTTAGATTAGGTGTTGCTAAAGTAAAAATAGGAACACATACATTTGTACACTATGTAGATTTTTAGCCGATAATCAGGGAAGTAAATTCGCTAAGTACAGTATTTCAAGAAATCAAGGACCAAACAGAAAATAATAAATATAATTTATGATTCGTTCCAGATACACATTTAGCAGACATAGAACAGCATATAGTTTACTCGATGTCAAATTTGAAAAATTAAATAAAGTCCATATATCCATTCTCGAAAACGCATTATCGCCCAAAACGAGGCTTAATAAATGGTTTAGGATCTATTATCAAAATGATTTCAGGGAACTTAGATGATGACGATGCTAAAAAATATGACCAAGCTATTGAACAATTACAGAAAAATCAGAATCAAGGAATTAACACAGTTAATCAGCAAATTTCCTTGACCCACAAGGTTCTCAAAAATAACAATAAGACATTTAGCCTTATGGTTCACAATCAAGCTGTAATAGAACAAACTTTGGTAGATATGCAAAGAAACAATACATACTATTTTACTATTTTGGATACACTATTACAAATAAAGTTCAATTTAGATGCACTGCTCTCTATAACTAGTAATTTGGAAAATGCCATCGCACCACAGTATTATTTCGATAGATGAATTAAAGTCAATATTCCAAATATTAGTCAAAAATCATAATAAAGGTCAGTTGGTGTATTCAGACATCAAAGATATTTATAAGCTTTACGACATAATTTCAGTAGAAGCATATTTTTCCCAAAATCGATTAGTTTTTGCCTTACATGTTCCGCTTTTGCACGTAGACAAATTTAAGCATTATCATCTTTATACCATTCCTACGGTTAACCAAACTACCATTATTCCCAAAAAATCCTATTTCACAATGAGTACCAAAATGTACCAATATGATGCTGAACCATGTCAAAAGATAGCAGATATTTTTATCCGCCACGAAAACAAATTGATCCATGTAGCGGAAGAAGAAGACGATTGTCTATTTGCTATTTTACAAGTAAACAAAAAGCAGCCAAATTGTAACAAAATTCACGTAACTCTTAAAATGGCCTTAATTGAAGAAGTTTCAGAGTCCAAATACATTGCTATTTTTCCGAAACCTGAAAAGCTGATAATCAAGTGTGAACAAGATGACGTCATAGAGTTAAAAAGCATTTATCTACTTGAAGTGCCTTACTAGTGCAGCATCCAAACGAAGGACTACATTTACAAAAATCAAAAAGGAACAACCATGGAAAAGCCGCTGTTGCTTCCAGAGGTCCACATTTCATCAAAAACAGAAAATCCGAAGGAAATCAAGTTAGTACATATTTCCTAAGATAAACTTCATCACTTGCAAGAACAAGCCGACCAAATCCAGGTGGATCTTCCCGAAACAGTGAAGCACCCCTACAAATGGAGTCTACACCTGTAAGCAATTATGTTAATTGGAATTGCATGCATTTTCGTGAAAAAGTATTACCAGAGAAGAAAAGGCTCAAGAAGAAACCAGAATTTAGAAGAAATCGAAATGCAACCCCAGAGGAAGGAAGTTTTGTTTGTGCCCTCCAAAACTTCATCTTAAGGGTGGAGGTGTTATGTTGCTGTAAATTAACACTTTATTAATTGATATAATAATTGCATTGTATTCCTTTTTACTAGCTCATCACTTTTGGTTTATATTAACGATTGTATATTAATTATGAGTCAGTCATTCAATCTCGGTCACAGCGAACACACATACACTGTAATTCCGGTTCGGTCCATGTAAACTATTGTTGGAACCAAATAAAGTTTGAAGTTCCAACTACATAATTCGGGCTGATTACAGATTTTCTGACAAACATGACGAATGCTTTTTAAATTTATTTTCATCCTTAACATGAATCCTGAGCTCCTACCCCTACCAGCACGTTCTTGAGGTAATTTCAAAATCGTTATGTGGACTACCTCCGAAAAAAATATTCAACAACAGCAAAATATCAACTGAACTCAGTATACTACATAGTTATTCTGAGTCCGCCCCTGACTTGTAATCCATAATGCTGCTATTAAGGTCAAATTTCGTAAGAAGTATTTTATATGGGGATGCCTGCTGATTGTTTTCTATGCTGGTATTGATCTACGCATCTGTCTATGTATCATACACCAACGGCAGAATCACGTTTGAGTGATAATCTTGACATTCATACAATAGCTCGTTAGTTCCTGATCCCTCCGATATCCGTGAGTGGGCAGCATAAGGCCCTATCAAAGTGAGTTTTAATCATGATATGAATAAACATTATACGCATCCGATTAACTTAACAAGCACACTTTGCGTCATCACGATCAACGGGGAAATATAGACAAACGGACAATAAGTAATCCATTTCTCTCTGGCCTATCTGATTGTTCTTCGATAATGAGTCATTATTCCAACTAGAAAGGATGGATTTGTTTGGTTTAACCATTAATTAATGTTCTCTGTCTGAAGCCTTGCCATCCTTGGAATAGTAATAATTCCATCAAAACACAGTCCCACGAAAACTACACGGTTTTTCGTGATGTACAGGGTGCGGAATAACCAACTAAGCAGTTTTAAAGAGTTTTAATACAGATTTACTTGACTCACGTTAAATTTCTCCACATCACTTTATTGAATTTTCATAAACAGAAACTTTATATTATAACAACTCAACAACGCATGTTTGGATATGAGTGAATGCATGATGACGAGTTGTGATTGTTGATCTAATGATAATGACCAAATGATCATGCGGAACATAGAACTCATAACATAAAAAAAGTTGGAGCTCCATCTTAAACAATAGCAACACCGTTGACAATTGTCAGACTGTGGCGCTGTCTACTTGCCTGAATATGAGGAAGAACTTTCGAAGAAATGCTGATAAGGCGCCTAGAATACGAAATACCAGAAATGTATATTGTAAGGATGCACATAAGAAGTTAGGAAGAAGCCAAAGTACCATTTATCATGAATGAACAACAGAGACTAGGTACATCTATGCGATACTAGCGTTGCATTTTGCTTGTGATATCAAATTCCACGTGGTTTATGATAACCATGAGGCAGGTGTGTAATTATGAACATGTCAGGTTAGAAAACCGCTAATGTATATCTTTTACTTATCACCACATAAAGGATAGGCACCTTATGCGAGGTTAGCGTTACATTTTGCCTGTGATAGCAAATTTCATCTGGTTTGTGATAACGTTACAACATCTTTGTCAGAATGCACAAGACAGTTTAGGAAACCACTAAAGTTCGATTTTCCGTTAATAACAGATAGATATTAGGTTTTATCTATGTGTGTCTAGCGTTACATTTTTGTGTTCACAAAGTTAATAAAACCATTTCTGGAATACCTTAAGAAAAAATTGAGCACTCTCAGGCTCAGTATAAATTGTGACAGAAAGAAAGTAACTTTACTTAAGCGGACGATGCAGACATTACTAAACCTAGTAAGGGCAATAATGGACAGCATCCAAGACAGAGTCCAAAACTTTTCGGTGAACATCGGGATCTTGGTGTCAGCTTGTCTTTCATTTCGTTACAGCCGACTATACACTAACGAGTGAAATTTCTTGCCTTGTAAAATTCTCAACGGAATTTTAACGCTACTATGCTAATAACATAATATAACTTAAGCTCTACCTCGGCTGGGGCTCACCTGTCACCGTCCTGATTTTGGTTCAAGTATTCGG